TGGTGGATTCCTCCAATGATGGAGGAAGAGAAGAAGCTCCGCTCTCTTTCTTGCTCCTTCCCCTCTCTCTCTGCGTGCGTCACAGACAAAATGCGAACGAGCGACAGCCTGTGTTTCTAATGAGCGTGCCTAGCATAGCGTGTATATTTATATATATATGTGAGTCTTACTTGGTGAGTCGCTAAGCTGTACGTCTCCTGCCTGCTAGGTCCAGGTGGGTGCTGTCGGTCATTCCTCTCCTTCTTTTTCTCTCGCTCCAGGCATGTATTTCTCGATACCAAGTAAGTGTTTCTTGGACGCGATATTAACGGCCGTAGGAAGGGGTCGGGGGGGGCGTGCGTACATTCCACACGCACGTCTCTTTATCTACTTTCTTCAGGTCATTACAATCACATGAAAGGAACACTTCCTCGGTATCGAGAAATACTTGCCAAGAGTGAGATAAGAAGAAGGAGATGAATGACCGTGAGCACCCTTTGGACCTTGGAGCCTGGAGACGTTTAGCTTAGCAACTCACCAAGTAACACTAATATATATAAATAAATATACACGTTATGCTAAGCACCTTCATTAGAAACGCCGTCTTTCGCTTGTTCCCATTTTGTCTGAGACGCACACCGAGAGGAGGTGAAGGAGCAAGAAAAGGGGCAGAGCTTCTTTTCTTCATCCTTAATGGGAATTTATTAATAGTTTTTCAAGCAGGGCCGCGGGCGGGTACGGGGTAAAGTTTAGCACCGTGCGCTCCGTGTCCTCTCGCCACCATCCATTCTCTGTCCCTCCCGTCCCTCCCGCCTCCGTCCACCCCGATCACCGGCTTTCTGCTTCCTGGATGAACAGACGGTGTTTGTCTTCCGTCCTCCTCCCGTCTTCTCTCCGGCAGCCGATGTTCAGCCCAAACATTCATCCACGTCTCCATTAAATGCGGCAAAGCAAAGCGCGACGTATTCCTCCACACACACAAACACACACGCGCACACGCACACACACACACACACACGCTGTCCCCCTCGGCTGCTTTCGGCGTCTCAGTGAAATCACTCATTGCCACGCGGCCCCTCCAAAAATAACGCTGATAATTAATTTCCGTTGTGAAATGATTCGTCTGCGCACTGACTAGCTTTCATATTTCACCCTGCATCGACCCCCCCCGTTGTCATGGTACAGTGGTGTAGTTGTTAGCACTCTCGCCTCCTAGACAGATGCCTCGGGTTCAACTCCACCCAGTGGCGCCACTGTGTTAGGTGGTGTAGGCTAAGCCTGCATGGGGTTCATTCCATACTTGTAAAAGTAATGGAATTTTTTTTTTTAAACTTCCAAGTCTGAAAAGAATGCCAAAATATTTGGCAAAATCTCATGAAATTCTATCCTTAGTCATATGAAGGTGCACGATAGTGAGAAAACCTACTTTTGAACAAAAATCCGAATTTTTTCTAAATTGGAGTCATAAGAAATTCCTACGGCAGCTGTTGACACGGTACAGTGGAGTAGTGGTTAGCACTCTCGCCTCCCAGACAGATGCCTCGGGTGTCGCGCCACACAGTGGCGCCGAGGTGTTACGTCCTGTAGCTTGAGCCAGGATGAGATACAATCGCCACTTGAGAAGTATCAAAAAAAAGTTTTATCCACTAACTTCTACCAGTTCTCAAAGAAATCGCCAGAAGATTTGGGCACAAACGTCTTAAAAATCCATATTTTAGTCATATGAAGGGGGCCCGCGGGTGAAAACACGCACTTTTGGATAA